AAAATATTTCATAATTTAAAAAATTAGTTCCCCATTCTCCACTGGCTGAGGAAACTGTATCTTCAAAATGCACTGCTGTTGAGCTGATAGGGAAATAAGCGATTAAAAAAATTTTTTTTCTAATGTTTATTTTTGAGAGACAGAGCGTGAGTAGGGAGGGGGAGAGAGGGAGACACAGAATCTGAAGCAGGCTCCAGGCTCTGAGCTGTCAGCACACAGCCCGACATGAGACTCAAACTCATGAGCTGTGAGATCATGACCTGAGCCAAAGTCAGATGCTCAACCGACTGAGCCACCCAAGTACCCCGAAAACAAGTGATTTTAAAAGATGACTTGTGGGGGCTCCTGGCTGGGTCAGTAGGTAAAACGTGGGACTCTTGATCTCCGGGTCATGAGTTCAAGCCCCATGTTGGGCGGATAAATTACTTAAAAAAAAAAAAAAAATGACACATGGACCAAAGAAAGGAGGTCCAGAGAGTGACTCAAAATGCCTGCACCCTGGCTATGCTTCAGGCACCATTGTAACTCTGTAATTTTAGCCAACCGTTTGAACCTCAATGTCTTCATCTGTAAAATGGGGTTAATCTCTCTTGCCTGCTTCACAGGGATGGAGTGAGAGTAATTGAGGCTATAATAATTGAAGAAAGAAGTGGTCATTGGAGTAATTGCTGCTAATGACTGAGCAGTTACTGTGTTTTCAAACAGGCAGTAAACATTCATTATTTTTCTAAGGCTGATAATAACTCTATGATGTAGGTATTATTTTCTATTCGTTTTATTTTTTTGTGTGTAATAAAATAGTAAGGCTCAGAGACAGATCATTCATTCATGCTCTTCCCTCCAGAACCAACCCTTGCCAACAAGGAATGGGCAATGACATGGGGGTGGCAGTGAGGGTACCGACAGTGGTCGGTGACCCATGTGGCCTGGCATAGGAAGTTCTGACCAACAAAGACGATGGTTAATAGCCTAGCAAAGCAGATTCCCTTGGGCATCAGAAGTCTGGGAAATGCAGTGAATCAGTCCAGTGGGGCAGAAACCAAAATTGAGAGAGGCTGTTGCTATGGCTGGGCGCACATGCCTTGGGGCCACCAATGGGCCATTTGTGATTTAAGCTGGGAGTTCATGGGAGTTACAAACCCGCAGAGGCCAGAAAGCAGGATGGTGTTGGCTGGTGACGGTAAGAAGGACGGGAGCGAATTCTAGATGTTCGACACAGAATTCCTGTTCTTTCCTCTCAAACCAGCAACCCACAGTCTTCCCAGGTGACTCGATAGTAACTCCACTTCCTAGTTTCTCAGGGAAAAGTCCGTAAAGTCATTTTGATTCTGTTTGTTTTTTTTTTTTCCATATCCCGTGCCCAACCCATCAAATAATTCTGTTGACTTTATTCAAAATACAACCATAGCCAGACCACCTTATGTCACCTCCACTATAGCTGTCTGGTCTGAGCCACCAGAATCTCGAGCTTGGATTATCGTATTGGCTTTTTTTTTTTTTAAGATTATATTTTTAAGTAATCTCCATACCCAACAAGAGGCTTGAACCCACAACCCTGAGATCAAGAGTCACGTGTTCTACTGACTGAGCCAGACAGGAGCCTCTACCAGACTGGCTTTTTAACTGACCAGTTCCCAACCAAGAGTGAGAGTCACTTTTTTAAAGTTTTATTTTATTTATTTTAAGGAGAGGAACAGAGAGAGAGAGAGAGAGAGAGAGGGAGAGAGAATCCCAAGCAGGCCCCATGCTGACAGCTTGGAGCCTGAAGTAGGGCTTGAACTCATGAACTGCGAGATCATGACCTGAGCTGAAATCAGGAGTCAGACGCTTAACCGACTGAGCCACCCAGGTGCCCCAGGAGTGATTTATTTAAAAATGTCAGATTTTTTTTGAAATGGCACAGCTCTGCTCAAAGCCTTCCAATGGCTCCCCATTTATGAGCAACCCCAAACTTTCTAGCTTCATCGCCTATTTTTCTCCCCAAAATCCCTTCTGTTCCAGCCTCCCGAGCTTCCCTGCACTCTCCAAACACCGGATGGGCAGGCGTGCTCCCGTCTCAGGCCTTTGATGTTCCCCTGCTGGGAAGGCTTTTCATCCAGATGTCCTTCTGGCTCACTCCTTCGCCTCTTTAAGAACCTCGCCAAACCTTGGCGAGACCTTCCTCATCCCCAATTCCACGCTTCAGTCCTCCACCTTGCACTGCTTCTCCCTTCCGTTTCTCTCCGCTGTCTCTGCCACCCATGAAGTTTCTACATACACCATGACTTACTTATTTGGGGTACAGTCTGTCCCCCATGCTAGGCCATAAGCTCCCTGTGGGCAGGAATGTTTGTCAGTTTCATTCACTATGTATCCCCAGGACCTAGAACAGGGCCTGAGAACAAATGTTTGTTGAATGAATGAACAGATTATTAATCCTACAAGAGAACCTCTCTCTCTCTCTCTCTAGCAGCTCAGAAGACCTTGTTGACACCAAACATTCTCTTTCCAGCTGCCCCCGTGCCATCCACAGCTGTAGACTCATCTATGGGGTGGATGTGAGGAGCAAAACGAAGCTTCAACCGGTCCCTTTAGTCAGAACATTCTTACCGCACCTGAGGTCACACGTGGGGCACTCTAAGTAGTGTTAGTTGTTCAGGGATGTATTTCAGACGATGTGTTCAGTTGCGTCTGGTGTGGGGAGCCATCATTTCAGAAACAGCCCCCTGTGACTGGCATGTGACTTTTCCCCCCAAAAGATTTGCATCAGTGGGAAGGTAGAGGCAGTAAGAGAGAAGGTAGCAGGAAAGGAAAAAATGGGAGAAACAAAATCTCAGGACCGCGTGCAGAGTTGTCTGGACGTTGTCTGATTCCGGCAGGGAGTCCTTGGACTCAGAGTTACGACCCACCAGTGCTTTGCCTCAGTGTCTGATAAAATGACCCCTGGAGGGAGCAGAAGTGACAAGGAATCATTTGGGGGACTCCAGGCTGGCACTTAGCCAGTACGAGGCAGATATGTGTACCTTGGATGCTCCGGACCAAACCCCCCACCCCCAAAAATCCCAACACACACACACACACACACACACACACACACACACACACACATTCTTCACAGCAGTGGTCAGTCTTCATGCTTCCAACTCCAAGATTTTAAATTTATTCTGCAGCATTTCCCATGAACTGCGGTTACACAATTTATATTTGTTGAATTTAAGAACCCAGGGTCTATGACACATTCTAACCCAATGTTAAGCTTCAGGTAGAGCCCGGGGAAGTGCACTCTTTTAGGGAAGGCAAGCCCTCCAACACACAAGTGCACGGCTAAGTATTCCAAGAATGTGTCCACGCCCAGCCGTGTTTCGGAGACCTGACTCTCCCACTTTCACTGGACTTTTGATTACTCCAAAAAGCTTTCATCTCAGAATACACCTTCTTCCTCATCATAGCACTTGTCCCAAGCTGCTCCCATGCCCTGAATACTAAGTAAATATGGATGAAAATAAAGATGGATACAGCAGGGGGTTCAGTTATTCTTTCCCGGTTCATGAAAGGAGGGACAGGAGACAGAACTAAGTCCTGGTTTTTAACAGGCTCTCTCAGGTTGACCAAAAAACAAGGCTTTGTTCTGGCACAGTTAACTTAAACACGCTGGCTTCCAGGTGCCTCTGATGGGAGAAAGGATGCTGTCATTTCCTTGAACTTCCAGCACCCCTAGGCAGCTTCATTAGCGAGCAGTCTTCTTGCGCGGGGAGCGTGTGAGACTTCTTAACTGCACAGGTGATATAGGTGAGATCCCTGTTCTCTGTCTCCAGGGCCACGTGGACATGGCTACTTTCCTGTTAGAAAAGGGATGCTTCTGGGGCGCCTTGGTGGCTCAGTTGGTTAAGCATCTGACTTCGGCTCAGGTCATGATCTCACGGTTCGTGGGTTCGAGCCCCGCGTCGGGCTCTGTGCTGACAGCTAGCTCAGAGCCTTGAGCTGGTTTGGATCCTGTGTCTCCCTCTCTCTCTGACCCTGCCCTGCTCATGTGGTCTCTCTCTCTCAGAAATTAAAAGAAAAAAAAAAAAAACACTAAAAAAAAAAAAAAAAAGAAAAGAAAAGGGATGCTTCTCTTCACCATCGCATGGACTTCCTTATGAAGAGACTATAGCCCAAAGAGGTTAACTGACTCACCCGAGGGATTACTGTCGTAAACTAGAGAACGGGACTCAAATTCTGGTCCTTTCCACTATGTGCCACTGGTTAGGAAACAGGCCCCAGAATTCCTGACGTCTGCCCCGCCCAACAGTCCTGATTTAACAAAAACAGGGTGCTACGAGGAAGGCATGATGCCAAGGGCTCTCCTGTACCCAGCTTCCAACCTTTAGGAGCAGGGATAGATTCCGCAGGGAGAAGACCCCAGGTGTGGCACTGGAGTCCACACTGAGCAGTGTAGGTGGAGGTGGGAAGCAGATTAACCCCCAGAGAGGGACGGAGGTAGGGCTCTGGCCACTGCAGGTGGAAGATTTGTGGCCAAGGGCCGGAGAGCAGGGAGATGTCCCAAGGATAGGAATTTCAGAGTGACAGTCTGCCCAGGCCCACAGGCAGTGGGAACACCTTCACAGGGGTGCTTGCCTTGTCCTGTGTAGCCAAGCTCTACACACCTGAGGCCAGGTTCCCAGGGAGGACTGGCAGGTGCCGGGGGTAAATGCTCTCTTACCTGGCTTCCATTCAGTGCAGAGAAATCAGGAGCTAGGCAAGACCTTGTTAATTGTTTTGTGACGGGAGGGCAAAAGAAGTCCCAAGGTGCCACCTGTCTCATCCCATCCCTCATCTTGACCTTAATCTCTCTTCTTTGGCAGAGTCCTACATGAAGTGTGTTTGTATTTCTTTCCACTGGGTGTATTTCCCATGACTACTTAAAATTCACTCCCAATCAAGCAAAGAGGCAGATGTTTCCATAACTTTACAATCTCATCTGGAGGTGTTTTAAAGTGTGACCCAGACATGATCTTTCCAATCAAAGGTCTGACTCGTCGTTACATGCAATCACCTGTTTTATTTTAAAACACATCTACACTGCATTGAGCACCAACACAGATGTGACCAAGAAACCCACAGTCCTGTCCCAGCAGGCGGCGGGTCCAGTGTGTGACTTGGGGCGGACGGTTATGGTTCACAGTGACAGAAGAAAGAAAGGGCAAGAAAGACAAAATGGACTTTGTCCTCAATTCCTGTTGAGGAATCTGAGTGACAGAAAGAGAGGGGTACTTAAGCTCACAAAGCTCTCCAAAAGCCCCTTCTCTGAATTAGCAGATTACAGACCCCGGGTTGGTGGACCAGCCAGACTTGGGTAACAGAAGAGCAAGCTGTTTAATATAACACCCCCATGTTCCTGCAAGAAAGAGGGAAGTGGGCTGTGCTTTTTTAGTTTACTTTTTCTTACAAGTTGAGAGGACATCAGCCCTGCACAACTACAATCGTGACAGACCATCTGCTCAGTATAAAAACTCTGTGTTTGGGAAAACGAAGTCACCTGACCAATGGGAAAAAATACTCTGGGCTGGACGGCGCCTACCCCAAATGGCAGCGTGGGCTCCTTGACTTTAAGGACCTTTTCAACGGTGACCCCCGGAAGTGTGTGGTGTGTGTCATGAAGACTGGGAATCTCTTTTATTTTTTCATCAAGGCTTTAAATCCACCTGCTTTCTTAAAATTACTATCTTACAGGATTCTTCCTGTGTCTCACATCTGTCCTCTGAGGCAGGAAGTAAATGTTAGAAAATTGGCAGGTTCTATTTCTCAGGCCAGAGGCAGGTCCTTCTGTCTGGGGACCATCATGGTTCTTGGAATGCTTGAGCCTCAGGCACCACTGACCTCCAGCAGCCTCCTTGGCATCCAGGACTAAGACTTCTCTATTCCTAATCCGGAAGACTTGCGCCATGGAAAGAAAAAAGCCTGGCCCAGAAATCCCTGGATCCTTGGCCCTTATCTGAGGGATGAAGAGGAGGCAGGGAGGAGCAAACCTTTGAGTCACCAAGTCATCACTGGAGAAGGCAATGAGCAAGCCTAGAACCTGCCTGATGACCTTATTGTGAGAAACAAAATCCCTTCTCCAAACTATAGACTTCCTGTTTATAATCTAAAATGGGTGCCTTTGAAATGATTTACCTGGGCCATTGAAAGGCAGTCGCTCATTACATGCTATACAAGGTTAGATTTTCTACTTGATTATTCACATGAAATTTGAAAATGGACCAACCCCCTTGGAATGCGTGCTTTTCAACAAATCGGAAATTGCAAAACGTTTTTGCCGTTTACAAACACAGCACTTGAACCCAAGGGCTCCATTGGTATAAATATTTCCAAGCTTGTTTGCATTTTAACAGTAACAGAGAATGGTCAGAACGAAGACATGATTCTAATTTCTAACATCGATTAAATTATATCGTTTTAGTTACAAATCAGTTTCCATTGCTTTGCTCCATTTTCTATGCACTTTGTCTTTTACATCATCTTGTACGAAATTTATATTTAAGATTTGCTTCAAAAGGCAAATGCCTAGAGGAGCAAGTCATTTGCATTGTCTTTCCTTGAGTTACTTTGGGTAGGCGGAGGGATCACCATGGATTTGGAGTTGAGGTCGCCAAGCATTTCCATGGGCCATCTTCTCCCACATACTCCAGGACGGGGAAGTCGGAAACTCTCTTCTAAACATGTTGGCAGAAGGGTGCAATTCTTCAGCGCTCTAGGGCCTGTGAAAACAAAGAGAAAGGTGGCTGTCACTTCTTTTACTGGCACCATGAACAGTAATCCTGTGTCCTGTTGTCTAAGTCTTGCAATTCTGGAACCCGGACCTCTTCTCCTTTCCCTGCTCATTCCTCCTGCACGCCTGGTCCCCACATGGCCAGGAGCAGACTCCCAGGCATGTCCAAGCACACAAATCTGCAACGGTAGTTGGCCGTGTCCCTCAGTCCCCAGTTGTAGAACATTTGTCCTCTCTGCCACCCTCCACCCCATCGTATAACATCTCCCCGAGAGAATAAGAAAACGTTTTTCTCTGGTTATGAGTTTGAATCTTCTGAATTCTTAAGGAATTTTCAAAGAGAGAAAGTACCCCTTCCCCTCATCAATGGTCAATTCTAGGAGTTCACTACCATGCCTGTGGGTGTGTGTGGGGCAGGAGTGGAGGGAGGGGACCTCACTACCAGAAGAATTCTCATCAGAATGGTGCCCAGGCTCCGCATTGGATGCTCTTCTGGAAACCACCTAGCTCCCTCAGATGCCTGGGGTGGGGTGATTAGGTATCAAGGTGAAACTTGGTTTGGGTTTTAAAAAATTAGGACAAGAGGTCAAATTTGGTTAGACCTCAATGTGAGTCAACTAAAAAGCCATCTCTGGCTCTAACTCTCTCTTTTTTTTGAAACTTAGAAGGGACAGCAGGTACCTCACTAGACATTGTCCTTCACGACACGTACTATGTAGTAGCCCACTACCTGTATCTTCTGAGGAAACTTCAGATGTAGTCCTCACAGAGGTAAGGGGCTTCTGAAAAGGACTTTTTGCTTTGAAAGTACACTCTATGCCCAATGTGGGGCTCAAACTCAAGACTCTGAGATCACCACTGACTGAAGCAGCCAGGTGCCCCTGAACATGATCTCTATTTAGAGGTTTCTATGGGATCAAGGTTGAGGTTCTAGATATGACCACTCTCATTTATCTACCGCATAGGTGTAAAGTCTACTTACGAGTACCTTCCTGACATTTTTCGAGCAACCAAAATGATGATCCCACCAATGAATCCAATGGCTAGTAAGACTCCGACTATAATTCCAACCAGGGTGACTGTTGCCAAGCCATCTGATTGAGGAGGAAAAAAAAGCATGAGCCCCAGATAAATGATACACCTATGTCATTTATAAACAATACCACTGCCCAACTGAAGACAGCAAATAATGTTCTAATTTGCTTCTCCTTATCCAGTGGAAGCTGACTTAGAAGAGATGAAACTTTGGGCTACTCTAATCCCATCTTATGAGTGGCAAGATTCCTGGGTCTCAGGATCTATCAAACATACCACTCATACTGGGTGGCTTCACTGTTCATTATTAGGTAATGTTTGTCTGCTGCTATTAAATTAGCCCCTACTTCCATTCTTAGTAACAATAGATTATGATGACACCATTCTCCATAGCTGTCATTAACTGAGTAGACTCATTTGTGGTTTATTTTCAAATACAGGTAATTTTCTTTTCTCTCTTGAAAGAGGCTTGAAACCTATTCTCAGAAGGTTCTGTATTGTACTCTTACTGACTACAATCCAGGAAAGAATGCCATTCATCAAAGATTAGCTTCAAAGAAACTTTTTTTTAAACTCCCATAAAAAATATTTTGATAACAAAATCTAGCTTACCGTTTTCAACTGTTGTCTCTGTGTCTTCATCTATTTTAAAGAAAGAGATGTAATGATACAGAATTATTAGGATTTAATAACTGTAATTTAACAACTGGCAAAAGATGAATTTACTCTAAGTGGAAGGTAGCAAGACACAAGCAAAGAGGATAATTTCTTAAATAAATTTGATCCGAGGATTTTTAAGCAAGCTCTGACATGATCCTATCTTCAAAACTATTATTATTGAATTTATGAATGCTTCTTCACACCTATGGGTCCATAGAACTTTGGCGTATCTTTTTTCTCACCCACATTAGAGAGCAGAGTTAAGGAAAGTAACCCACAGAGATCTTACATAAATGGTCAGAAAGTTTCAGAGTTTTGGGGAACAAAAAAAGCCAAGGCTGTTGATTCTTGGTCCAATGTCAAGACCATAGAAAACTCGTCCACAGTGAAGAGGTTGATTTTGAAGGATTTTATTTTAGAACAGTATACTCTAGTTCTGGAAGATGGGGCCCAGACTGTGATTTGTCTTATGATATTAATTCCCTGCCTTTTCTTTAGTAGCAAAATCCACATCCTACAGGGCAGCAATAGGCCCAGCTAAGTTTAATGAGGGAATGAATACAACCTACAAATACTGCAGATATCCAAAAGCTTTTCTAATTGAAGGTGAAAGCACCATCTGTAAGATTCTTACTTTTCCTAATGCTTGGATCTGAAAAAAGTCTCTGTACCGAGGCTCTCTTCCAAAAAAAAAAAATGCACCTTTTCAAGATGGCCCCAGATTGAGTGTCTGAGCCCAGCTCTAGCAGCATGAGCTGAACCCATCATGACTACGGAGCATTTACATGGAGCTCAAGCTGATGATGCTGTCCCGCCATGAAAAAGCAAGAGACTTTTGGGTCTGAGGCCAGCCCGAAATGAAGGTGTCATGGAATCCCTCCTAAAAGGTCATCTTTGGCTGCCAAATACCGGTAGAAAAAGGTCAGTCATTTGCTTATCATGTCCTAGCATGGTGACTGCTGATTCCAGGCTTGCCACACATCCTCATCACCATCAGTGACACCATTGGTCAGAAAATATATTACCAATAATTCATGCAGAATATTCGTTACCAAATTAGAGCTTATTAGTTCAATGTTCCCTAGCTCCCACCCAGCGACGGTGGCTGCAGTCATGAGAATGTGTCATACATACATGCAAACATCATCGCACTTGGGTGTTTCATGGGAAAGCCATCTGCTGCCCTAATAAAATCACCTCTTAAAAAACCCAGTGCTTATAATTACATTTTAACTCACATGTGAAAATTTCTGGGACACTGACGTGTTATGTGGGAATGTGCGGTAAGTCACAATTTTCTTGACAGGGTGGGGCAAGAGACAGGACAGCAGACTAATCATGAGTATTTTCCAGAGAACTGAGAATTTTGTTTTGAAGGAATAGGAGAGACGCATCTTGGTAGGACCGGAGTAAGGCTCCATTTTCTGCAGGGAATTGGCTGTCAATTCAGTTGACACACAATCAATTCTTCTCCAATTTTTTGAAATGTTTTCCAGTGACCAATTATATTGATGATTCTTTCCTTGCATAGCCCTATTTGCTTCTATCTAGTGTTTAAATGGTAACTTTTTTTAGCATCTCAGAGTGACCTTTTGGCTTTATTTCCAAAGCACTTCAGACAGCTTTTTTCTTTCCTATGCTTAAGGTTCATCCATATAGTAACATGTGTCAGAATCTTCTTCCTTTTAAAGGCTGAATAATAGTCCATTAAATGTATGTACCACATTCTGCATGTTCATTCATCTGTTGATGGACATCTGAGCTGCTCTCTTGTTTTAGCCATTGTGAATGATGCTGCTATGGTCATTGTGTGTACAAATATAAAGCAACTTTTTAAAAAATCCTCAGAAGCACTATAGAGTTTTTAAAACCAGAATGGTGATTGGGTCTAGAAATGTATATTGAACAATAGAGAGTATTTTTCTAAGTGTTCAGATGGGCAACTGATTGGAGGAACCATTAATTTAGGTAAGGTCTTTATATTTACTTTCATTTAAAGATGGAAACCCTCATCCAGATACAAAAATTAGCAAGTATTCAGTAAAATTATTGGAGGATTACTTTTTTCCTCTCCCACCCCCAACTACTATAAAATAAGGCAATAAAAAAAATCCCAAGCAACTGAATTTCTCTTAAGAAAGCTCTAGAAATAGGAGGCCTTTTCTTTCCATTGCTTTCCGTTTGCTAAGTTTGTAATGGCAATGATTTTTCCTCATTCTCAGTGATGGTCTGCACCTCATAATAATGCCAAAGACCCAAGACAGTGCTCCATTCACGCTGTTGCAGTTGACAACTAGGAATCACAAGGATGGCCCCAAATCCCGGTAAGATTTGTTTAGATTAGAGTCTTGCTCCATAGGTACAGACATGAACTCAGTGTGAGATGGTAAATATTAGTATAGAATCTATTACAACTTACATAAGTTGGTTGAGTTTTCTGCTCTTGGTAGTCAACACAAAGTTCTTGGTGTAACATTATATCAACTTACAGGCAGCAATATGACACTAGTAGCTAACTTGCCCTACAGGGACATTTTTCCTAGTTGTCATTCAAAGTGGAGAGCTGTGTTCAGCAACCCAAGAAACTGAATTCAGTTTAGCAACCCTAGAAGTCGAATTCTCAACCTACCATATAAGGCTTGGTTCAGAATTTGCTCTTGCATTCCAATATATGCCCCACTAATCATTAGATTTGTTCATGGATGTTTGGAATGCACTGATCATGCCAAAGAAGATCAACATTTATTGGGGTGACTGTTTTTCTTACCTATGGATTCACTGGTCACTACATTCAAGGTTGTGGTACTCTGGCTTTCTTCACTGGGATGGACTGTGCTTTCTTGAGTTGGCCCATCCTCTATGCGAAAGTCCGTTATACTCTCTGTATTTGTTGGCACCTGTTGGAGAAGTAAATGAGACAAAAGAGAAATAAAATCTAATGTTTTAAAATATATACTCATCCTTATAACAGAAAAGGATTTAAAGTGGCATAAATATATAAAATATATGATGACCTAAGTTTAAAGAGGAAACAAGAAAACAAGCAGAAATGACTAAGTGAAGATTGGAATAAAATCAAATGTACTCCAGAAATAAATATCAAATGTTGACTTCCCTATGGTCTTAATTCTTCATCAAATACCAGGTCACTAGGCTTTAATTCTTTCTCTCCCTTGAAATTGAATGGCGTCTTTCCCTGTAGTATTTATTTGGTACATATTATCTTGTATCTTCTTTCAATGCCCTCCCTCCCCCAATTAGAGTAATAACTGGCTTTTATTGAGAGCTTACTATGTGCTAAGCTGTTTATTCCACAAACAACCCTCTAAAGTCAATCCTATTATTAGCCCGATAGTCTGAATGAGGCCAAGAGAGATTGGACAATATGCCCAAACTCAGACAGCCAACAAGCAACAGAAGGAGGCTTAGAAGTGATTCTCTTGATTTCAAAGTTCATGCCAATGTGGCATTTGACAAATAAGCTAGTGAACATGGGGAGCAAAAGCAAAATTAGGTAAGTGGGAGCCCATCAAACTTAAAAACTTTGTGCATCACAAGACATAATCAACAGAGTGAAAAAGCAATCTATAGAATGGGAGAAAATAATTACCAATAATATATCTGATAAGGGTATAAAGAACTCCTACCACTTAACAACCATGAATCAAAAAGCTTAATTCAAAAATGGGCAAAAGGGCTTGCACGGACCCTTCCCCAAAGATGATAGACAATGGTCAAGAAGCGTGTGAAAGATGCTTAGTATCTTAACGTAAACATCAGAAAAAGGCAAACTAAAACTACCGTGAGATGATCACCTCACTCCTGTCAAAAGAATGGAAAATAATGTGTTGGCAAGAAGGTGGAGAAACTGAAATCATTGTACCCTATTGGCAGGGATATAAAATGGTGCAACCACTAGGGAAAACAAGATAGAGGCCTGACAAAAAAATTAAAAATAAAATTCCCTTATGATCCATCAATCCCACTTCTGGGTGTACACCTGATTGAAAGCAAGATCTGGAAGACGTATCTGCACATCCATTTTTCACAGTAGCACTTTTCAGAAGACCCAAGAGTAGGAAGCAAGCCAAACGTTCACTGACTGACGAATAGATGCACAAAATATGGTACAGACATACAGTGGAATAATAATCAGCCTTGAAAAGGAAGGACAGGGGGCGCCTGGGTGGCTTAGTCGGTTAAGCGTCCGACTTTCGCTTAGGTCATGATCTCGCGGTTCGTGAGTTCGAGCCCCGCGTCAGGCTCTGTGCTGACTGCCAGCTCAGAGCCTGGAGCCTGTTTCAGAGTCTGTCACTCCCTCTTTCTCTAACCTCCCCTGCTCACGCTGTCTCTCTCTCTCTCTCTCCTAGAAATAAATAAAAACATTAAAAAAAAAAGAAAAGGAAGGACAGTCTCAGATACGCTACAACATGGATAAATCATAAGGACACTATGCAAAGAGAACTAAGCCAGGCATGAAGTATCCTTGCATGTGATTGCTTGGCTGTGCGGCACCTTCTTCTCTCCCTGGGACACTCACCAGACCTGTCGGTCCAGCAGACTCTTCTGTGTCTATACTGGCACCTGTGGTCACCACATTGTCTTCTGCACCTAGGGTCACCAAGCCATCTTCCACACCTGGTGTCATGTCATCTTCTGGCCGGACCGTGCTGGCTAAAAAAGAAAAACTGGGTCAGGGCTTAAGGTAGAAATTGTGTGGGCAGACCTAACTGGCCAGCTATAATCAGATTATTTTCTCTACCATTTCTTTTGGGGATTTTTTGGGGGGAGGGTCATCTTTCCAGCTTACCACAAACCATTCTCCTTGCTGCGCCTTTGTCACATACAAGAACCTGGTTGTTTCCATAGCAAAGCAAAGGGAGATAAATATACAAAATGGTGAAGCCACCAGACCTTTCCCACCACGGGTGACAGGGGGATAAATACCTTGCCTTTTCAGTAATGAACGGGGTTCTTCCTGGTGCCATTTCATACAATGAACTAATGCATTAGGGTTACTAGAATATCATTGAGACCTGGAAAAATTCTAAGTTGGAGTCACCTGGAAAGATTTCTAAAAATACCAATTTGCAGGCTGTATCTTAAACATCCTGAATCAGAAAGCCTAGAAGCAGATCTCCATCCCTTAAAAATCAAGCTTGCTTTCCGTTTGATTTTGAGACTGCTGTCTCCTTGAATGAGGAGAACCATTACCTCTGACCACAGACCTCATAGGGGGTCTACCTTTCATTTTGTAGTTGAGGTTAATATCTATGGAAGACAGTCAGTAATATACGTAACAATGCCGAGAGAGCCAATAGTATTCTTAGAGCACAGAGAGCTAAACTAATGAGGGACGTCAGTGCCCCTGGCGGGGCTTCTCTGTGTTAACAGTGAATGAATGACCCTGTTGTAACAAGGAGAAAGGTTTTTTAGAGGAGGAGGGGATAGGTGGGGTGGGATAGCAGGTTGAATTCCACACAAAGGTGGGGTGGGGGGAGCAGAGCAGATAACAACAGTGGCCTTTTCTTTAACCTCTGTTGCAATGATCCAGGCTAACTCACGACCAAGCAAGGGCACCATCTCAACTCATCAAATAACCCTTTTCATGAGTTAAAAATCTGACTCATTGGCCACGGTCTCCCTGCCCGTACTCAAGAGTGGCTCTGGAAATTCCATGACTAAATATACAGTTGCAAACTAAGCAAACATACACTCCCCATGATCAAGAGGGGCTGGGATGCCTGGACGCTTCTCTGTGTAATTAAAGAGTCGATGTTTGTATCCAGGCAGCGCTCAAGTTAGCAATCCAGTCCTTGCCTTAAGATACCTTATTTCTCCCTGTGCTTAAAGAGCCAAGCCAAAGGCACAGCTAATAAATATTTGATCATAACTTCTTTGCTGATGCATCGAGGGAGAAAGCTTCAAGAGTAAATTCGCTTGTTCTGTGAGCTTTCTCTTTGCATCTGGAGTCCTAATCCAGGGCTGTCAATTGATGGCTTTGGAGGAACCCCCTAAGCATGTAATTTACTTTTTCACCTGGGGGGGAAATGCCTTTCACCAGTTAACAGTAAGTGAATACCTTGGTGCATTCAAGTAGTTTGCCTCCCCTCCTGGCTGCTTGCTGGGGTGGGGGGAGGGCCCGCAAAGGGCTCCCACCAACACTTAGGACCATGGTGGTAGGCAAATGTTGAATGCAAGAGGGAAATGTCCCTTTGCCAGGCAAGTTGTCCTTATTAAACACACACACACACACACACACACACACACACACCCCTACACCCTTCTTCTTTTCCTCCCCTCTGAGTTTGAACAGTTAACAAATCATCAATTTTACAAATGTTTTCTGGAGGTGGCTTAGCAGAACCATTTACTGTATGACATCTTACAACTTTACAAAACAAAATACCCTTGCTTTAAAAAAAAAAATCAAGTACTGAATGAAGTTGGTTTGAATTCTTTCATAGAAAGTTCAGCTCATTGAAAGCGTAACTTGATAAAAAAAAATTCCTTCTTGTTCTTTTCTGCTCTTGGCCCACAGAGCCAAGCACTAAAATCACCCTGAATAGACAAAGGGCGTTTTATGAATGACACTCATGATTAAGATGCGTGGCTTTTGTTTCACTGCCCTGGCATTCTTTTTGCTCCATGGGAAAGTTGATCTTTAACAAGGGATCTTCAATTGTCCCTCTTATTATTTTGGCGGAAGGCTTTCCCGGGTGAAGAGTTCCCAACCAGCCCAGCTGCCGAGTTTCCAGCCAGCAATTGATGCCCTTTTCCTTTCAACAGTGAAATTCAAATCATGTCTTGATGCCTTCATCCTCTGACTTTTTTTTTTCTTAAGACACGTGTGTGCACAGGCAATGCACACGGCTGTTTATACAAGCGCCGTGAGGAACCTACAATCACAGGGTCAGTTCTGTCGCCTGTACCCTTATGATCACATGAATACTTTTCCTGCCTCGCCCAGGTTCACCCAGCCTGGGCGTCAGAATCAATGGAAGTTTCCAAAGACGATGACAACCCATCCATTTGCTTTGGAATTTGTGCGTAGGTGTTATTCTTTCAAAAGCTCGGCCAAATTTTATATTACCTATGAAAAGACATGATAAATCCATTTTACCCTGAGGTTCCTTAAGCTTGAGAACAAGTAAGAACTGAGGAGATGTTTGCTGGTTTGAAAGCGCTAATTATGAATCACTTTTATCTTTGCATGGAAGCCCGGCCTCTCCATAGAAATTCTTCTAGTTGACATACAGTTATGGGAGGGACTTTCATTTCAAACAGTTTAGAATTTAGATGCAAAGTAAATAGTAATAGTCCCAAGTTCTTCGTCAAAATAAGTGTTTTCAGTCTTCTGGTTTTATTGACATTTCTGATAAATGGTGGGGAGTGGTTCCATTGATTTGTTGGCCATTAAAAATATCTTCTTTTGTGACCATTTTTCTCTTATGGTGTTCATCTTTTTTACAGTGTTGTAAGTGTTCTTTACCCCCTTAGAAATACATTGCTTGGGAGCACTTGGCTGGCTCAGTCGGCAGAGCATCTGACTCTTGATCTCAAGGTCATGAGTTCGAGCCCCGTGTTGGGAGAAATACATTCTTTTTTTTTTTTTTTAATGTACCATCTTTAAAAAAATGTTTATTTATTTATTTTGAGAGAGAGAGAGAGAGCATGCACACATGTGCAAGTTGGGGAGGGGCAGAGAAAGAAAGAGAGAGAATCCCAAGCCAGCTTCACACTGTCAGCACAGAGCCCCATGTGGGGCTCAAACTGAGATCATGACCTGAGCTGAAATCAAGAGCTGGATGCTTAACTGACTGAGCCACATACGCACCCCAGGAATATACTCTTTATAAGAGACTCTGCAAAAATCTTTTTTTTCTTAAACTGGTTGGTATTTGCATCTCTCTTCTGTAAGTGGTGAGCTCTGTCATTAATCAAACATTAAGATTGCTTTGTCCCCCAAATGGATCAAGAAGATGTGGTTTATCTATGCAATGGAATACTACATGGCAATGAGAAAGAATGAAATCTGGCCACGTGTAGCAACATGGATGGACCTTGAGGGTGTTATGCTTAGTGAAATAAGTCAGGCAGAAAAGGACAAATATCACATGTTTGCACGTATAGGAGGATTAGGAGGAACTTAACTGAGGACCATGGGGGAGAAGAAGGGGGGAAATGGTGGGGGAAAGGGAGAGAGGCAAACCATGAGAGACTCTTGAATGCTGAGAACAAACTGAGGACTCATGGGTGTGCGGGGGGAGGGGGGAGATGGACATGGAGGAGGGCACTTGTGGGTATGAGCACTGGGTGTTATATGGAAACCAACTTGACAATAAACTATTTGTAAAAAAAAAAAAAAAAGATTGCTTTGTTCCTTTGATGTCATATGTACACCCCCACCTCAAGATTATGTAAATACTCACCCGATTGTTCTTAAGGTTTTGTTCTTACATTTCATATTTCTATTTGTCTTGTGTTTCTTTTGAAGCCTGAATGTAAAATGGGGATATAATTTGATTTCCCCTGAAAGATTGTCCAGTTGTCCCAATAAAAACCCTCCTTCCCCCACAGCTTCAAAACTAGGTCTCACTGAGACAGAGGTCTTCTTTCCAGTATCGTGTCATGGTCACGGGAGTAAATTTTCACTATAAAGACCAGCTGAATGGGGCGCCTGGGTGGCTTAGTCGGTTAAGCATCCGACTTTCGCTTAGGTCATGATCTCACGGTTCGTGGTTTCGAGCCCCACGTCGGGCTCTGTGCTGACAGCTCAGAGCCTGGAGCCTGTTTCAGTCTGTGACTCCCTCTCTCTCTGACCCTCCCCTGCTCACGCTGTCTCTCTCTCTCTCTCCTAGAAATAAATAAAACATTAAAAAAAAAAAAAAAGACCAGCTGAAGTGGCCTGGGCACTGGCATCTGCCACTACTTCCATGCCACCCTCTGTTTTCAGATTCTTTCCAGAATCGATTCCGAAATCTGTGCTCCTCTTACCATCGGCTCTCCCTTCCTCCTTACATCAGCTAACTGCTGCTGAGCGAATTCAATGCCACGGGCAGAGAACGAGGAGGAAGGGTAGGCTACTTCAACAGAAGTGCACGGAGGTCTTTCTGAGTTGTACCTTCTACCTAATGTGGGAGGCCCAGCTTTACAGCCAACACCCTACCCCTGCCCCCCACCCCATTTGTGCAGCCACCTACGGTTTATTTGTTTATTATCTTCCGGCTGACTTTATTTCAAAATGGCCCGTGGGTGAGTTGCACTGGCATCACTGTCCCCTTTATCAGATGAAGAAAGTGAGGCCCACAAAGATCTCTCCTTGACCAAATTCTACTTAGGCATCTCTGTCCATCCTTGCAAGAGTCTGGTTTCAACAAGAGTTTGAAATCAGCTCCCAATTGACCAAGTTCCCCACCCCCCACCTTTCATGTCTAAGCGGTAGGTCTGCCTTTAGCAAGAATCCTGTCGGGCCAGTGTAGCAAGAACCCCCTACCCTTGATGTGTCCTCTCTGTAATTGTCCATTCACTGGCCCCCAGCCCCAAATACTCTGCTCCTTGGTTATAAACACCAGCTACCTTTGCGATATTTTGAGTTGAACCTTATCTCTCACCCTTATTGCCATGGTCTTGAATAAAGTCTTCCAACTGTTTCAACAAGCATCAGGATAATT